GCATGACATTACAATAAGTGTGATCATGCAATGTAAATGCATGAAAAAAATGTATCTACCAATTTTCTCCTAAAAGGAGTCTTCCAAATGTTCACACTAGTTCATATTAATCTTGTCAAATTTAACAAATCTCCGCCTTGGCAAGATTCCACACTTTCAATTTTCTCACTTTGATAAATTTTGATTGTGCCTTCAACTTCAATCTTCAAATTTCAACAATGTTGATCAAGTTCAAACAATGTTGAAACTTGATCGCACTCACTGCTTTTGTTAGCATATCAGCAGGATTGTATGTAGTTCGGATTATCTACACCATGACTCCACCTTCTTCTATAATATCTCGATACAAAGTGATATCGAACATCAATGTGCTTTGTCCTTGCATGATAAATTTGGTTCTTTGCTATTTGGATAGCACTTTGACTATCACAAAATAGTGTGATGCTTTCTTGACCAATACCAAGCTCTCTAAGCAACCCTTGAAGCCAAATTACATCCTTTACAACCTCGGTAATTGCCATGTACTCTGCCTCAGTAATAGACAAAGAAACCGTTGACTGCAAAGTAGACTTCCAACTAATTGGTGCATTTGCAAAAGTAAAAATATAGCCAGTAGTTGATCTATGCTTGTCCAAATCACCCGCATAATCCGAGTCAAAAATATCCAACAAGATACTAACTATCTTCCTGCTCAAAAATCATTCCAACATCTACAATATTACGAATATACCGTAGAATCTATTTCACAGCTTGCCAATGCTCCTTTCCTGGATCATGCATATACTTTCTTACAACTCTGATATCATGTGAAATATCATGTGTTGTGCAAACCATTGCATACATCAAGCTACCAACGACATTCGCATGTGGTACTCTTGACATATACTCTCGTTCAACCTCATTCTTCGGCGACATAGCAACACTAAGCTTAAAGTGAAGAGCAAGAGGAGTGCTAACCGATTTCGTGTTCTCATTGATGCCAAATCGATCTATTACTCTCTTCAAGTATCCTTTCTGAGATAGATAAAGTTTCTTTGAATGTCTATCTCTTTTTATCTCCAAGCCAAGAATTTTCTATGCCTCACCAAAATCCTTCATCTCAAACTCCTTTCTTAGTTGAATCTTCAACTTCCTCTTAACTTTTGGAAGCTATCAACATATCATCAACGTATAAGAGAAGATATATGAAGGATCCGTCTTCAAGCTTGCGCAAATACACGCAATAATCGTATTTACTTATACTGTATTTCTGCCGCAACATAAACTTGTCAAATCATTTGTACCATTGTCTACAAGATTGTTTCAATTCGTACAATGATTTTTCAAGTTTGCACGCCATATTTTCCTTTCCAACAACTATGAATCCTTCTGGATGAGTCATATAGATTTTCTCTTCCAAGTCTCCATGTAAAAATGCAATTTTTACATCTAACTGAACTAGTTCCAAATTCAATTGTGCTACCAAAGGCAACAAAACTCTAATGGGGGAGTGTTTCATGACTGAAGAAAATACCTCATTATAATCAATTCCTTCCCTTTGAGCATATCCTATGACCACCAATCTTGCTTTGTAGAGAACATCTTCTTGGTTAGGAAATCCTTCTTTCTTTGCAAATGCCCATTTGCACCCAATTGTTTTCTTTCCCTTTGGGAGATTAGCCAATTTCTATGTGCGATTATGATGAAGGGACTACATTTCTTCATTCATGGAAATCCTCCACTTATCTTCTTCTGAACTTTGGATTGCATCTTTATAAGTGGTAGGAACACCATTAGCTACAAATTGAGGTTGCATAAGCCGCCGTCTCTATGAGATGAACAAGGTTTTTATTGTTCTTTTTGGCTTGCTCGTTGCTATTGATTCAAGTTGTTGTTGAGGTTCCTGAGTTGGAATCTCCCTTTCCACTCACTCTTCTTCTAGGGGAAAATCTTCTATTGTTTTCTCATTTTCTCCCTGTGTTGGGAAAATTAATTTTTCCTCGAACTCCACCTGCTTTGAAGCACTATCAGTTTGTTTGACATCATCAATTGTCACATTATCTATTATGGCAGATTCATCAAAGGTAACATCTCTGCTGAATATAATTTTTCTTGTCTCTGGATACCATAAGCGGTATTCTTTGACTCCAGAAGTAATCCTCATAAATATAGCATTCTTTGCTCTTGGATCTAATTTTGACTCTTTCACATGATAGTATGCAATTGAGCCAAATATATGTAAAAAACTATAATCTTCAGCAGGTTTTTCATACCATTTTTTCAAATGGTGTCTTGCCACCAATAGCGGCAGATGGTAAATGATTAATGAGGTGGCATGCATATCTTATTGCCTCGGCCCAAAATTCTTTGCCCAACCCAGCATTGGACAACATAAACCGAACCTTCTTCAGCTTAGTCCGGTTCAAACGTTCTGCCACTCCATTATGTTGTGGTGTATTTCTGATGGTGAAATGTCTGAAAATGCTTTCATCTTCATAAATCTTATTGAAAAGATCATTTTTGTATTCTCCACCGTTGTCTGTGCGAAGACACTTTATCTTTCTGCCTGTTTGAATCTCTATCATCACCTTCCATTTGAGAAAAATTCCCAACACCTCATCTTTGATTTTCATAATATACACCTACACTCATCGGGAAAATTCATCAATAAAGGTTACAAAATAGTGCTTCCCATCTAATAAAGGTGTTTTGGAAGCACTCCAAATATCAGAGTAAACATAATCCAAAATACCTTTAGTATTATGGATAATTTAACCCTTGTCTATTTCCTCTTGACACAATGCTCACAAAACTCCAAATTGCAAGTATTTACTCCTTTTAACAATCCTTGATCTGATAAAAGTTTCAAGGATTTTCCTCCAGCATGTCCCAAGCGCATGTGCCATAGCTTGGTTGCTTCTGCCTCCTTATAATTACTGGATGTCACTGTTGCTGCCCCAATAACTGTACTACCATGATAGTAGTACATATTATTATTTCTCCGAATTTCCTTTATTACCACTAGTGCACCAGAGCATATTCTCATTATCCCATTTTCTGTAACGACTTTGAACCCCTTTGACTCTAGGGCTCCTACATAAATGAGATTTTTCTTCAATTCCGGTACGTATCAAATATCTGTTAATGTTCTGATCAATCCATCATGGTTTCTTAATCGGATTGAACCGATACCATATGCGGTAAGATGATTGTTATTTGCGGTGTGAATAACTTCATATTCTCCTTCTTGAAAATCAACGAACCAGTTCTGGTTGGGACACATATGATAGCTACAAGCTGAATCCATCAACCATATGTCACATGGTTTGAATGGCTCGGTTGTAACTAGTGAGAAATCAGAGTCATCACAATCAGCTACATTTGAATCCATGACAGCCTTCCCATTGTTAGGTTTGGCCTTGTTTTTTAACTTTGGATAGTCTTTCTTCTAGTGCCCCTTTTCTCGGCAAAAGGCGCATTTATCTTTGCTGGGTCTGGATCTTGACTTAGATCTTTTGTTCTTCATTCTCATATGGTTTTGAGAACGACCTCTCACGACCAGTGATTCTTCTTCTCAACTATTTTGTTTTCCTCTCTTTCTTTGTTCATAGTTGTATAAGGCAGAACAAACTTCTTAAAGAGATGCTTCATCATTCCCATAAAGTAGAGTTGTTTCGAGGTGCTCGTACTCATCGAGAAGTGAACTTAATAACATTAAGGCCATATCTTCATCACTAAAAGTCACGTCCATATTCTGCAAATCTGTCGCCAACTTATTAACGCTGGTGATATGATCATTCATTGTAGTACCAGGAACATATGTGAAGCGTAAAAGTCTTTTTTCATGTAAAGTTTATTTTGACTGTTTTTCTTTAAGAATTTATCCTCCAATGCATTCCACAATTTACTTGCAGAAGTTTCTTTTGTGTATGGATACTTCTGTTCTCTTGAGAGGTAAGATCGAATGGTACAACAAGAAACGCGGTTAATAATCTTCCAATCTTCTTCTCGGATATTGTCTGGTTTCTTTTCTTTTATGGCAATATCTAGCCCTTGTTGAAAAAAGACATCAAGAACCTTAGCTTGCCACATCCCAAAATGTCCTGATCCGTCAAAAATTTGAACTGCAAATTTTGCATTTGACATAATTCTTGTCATAAGCGAAGTTGCCAACGACGTATTAGTGACTCTCGATATAGACTCTTCAATTTTGTTGTCTCCGATTTTTGCTATAGATACTATTTTTTTGCTGATACTACAGAATATCAAAGTAATTCTTTTATGATGTGAAAGTTCAGACTATGCTGCAACCACAGAACATACTCAGATAGAACCTTGGCTCTGATACCAATTGTTGCGGAAGCCGAATATATAGAGAGTTAAATCACAACTACTATATCTAAAGGTAGCTAACAAATAGTAAGTGAGGCAATAATAAAAAGAACACCAGAAGTTTACGAGGTTCGGCAAAATTTAATTTTTGCCTAGTCCTCAGACACAATCAACTCAAACTTTATTTTATTCCAAAAATACAAGTAAAATACTACAAGAGAGAAAAAAGATTCAAATGCCTTAGGAGATAAGAAGGCGAGTGGGAGATATTTACAAATGAACAAAACCCTTGCTATTTATAGAAGGGAAATAACTATAATAATGGCATGCATGATATCACAATAAGTGTGATCATGCAATGTAAATGCATGAAAAAATGCATCTACTAATTTTCTTCTAAAAGGAGGCTTCCAAATGTTCACACTAGTTCACATTAATCTTGTCAAATTTAACAGAATTATTATATAAAAAAAGGATAAAATAAAAATATTTAATAATAAGGAAGGGCAAGATGAGAGGAAAAAAATAAGGTAACGACGTAACCACACCAAATCGGTCGTTCCATAAAGTGATACTTTTGATTGTTATGTAATGACGGATTTAACGATATGATACAATAAAATTTAAGTAACAATTAAAATAAATATTATATTTAAAGTAATACGATACAATACAACATGTAACAATCATCCAAACAAGTTGTAAGGCACCCGGCCGTCAACACAAAGAAAAAAAAGAAAAGTACAGTAGGATTTTGAAAACAAGCGAGAAACAGATGAAAGAAGACCTCTCTGAAACTGGGAGAGGATACTCTTATACTATATGTTAGCCGGCGTAATCCATTGGTCCATAAGGATCGAACCACTCAGCCAAAAGACCCTTTTTCCTCTTAGGATTCCAGCCCATGTCCCTGCACAACTGGTCATTGTACCAAATATGCAACGCAGCGATGCATGATCTCCTGTAGTTCTTCGAATATGAATATCTCTTCTTGTATTTATCCCATTCTTCTATGTCTTCTTCCATGACCTTGATATTAGGTAGCTTAAATTTTCCATCAAGAAGTTCTGCCAGCTATCGGCATCTTATTTCTGAGGTGTATAGATTTGCTACGCTTTCTGAGAATCCAATTATTGCCAGTTGTGGAATTCGGGGATGAATGCATTCCCTGAAAATCATCCATAATGACATTACTTTCACACAAGATGAGGTTATACACATAGATAACTCAGATTAACGTATGCAAAAGATTTCCCACCACTACACAAGGATTTAATACTCACCTATAGAGAGGAACTGCAGAATCATCTTTCCCCGCAATGAAGCCCTGGAATTTTGGTGATTCAAAAATGTGTTTGAGCTTATCAATTCCCTTGAAGCCAGTAGCGAGTATGATTAAGTCGGATTTTATTGGTTCAGCCTGACCCTCGAGCATGATGCCTTCTTTAGAGAATCCAAAGCTCTTTGCTTTCTTGAGCTTGATACTTCCTTCCCGAACTCTATCGTAAAAGCTCTCAGGCACTATAGAAATTAAACATGAACTCAATTCGTTTAAGAAACTATGCTCTGGCACCATTCCATGTTTTGCAAGCCCCAGTTTGTGTTGTAAATAGCTTTCTACAAATTTTGAGAAGGCCCACCTCTGTAAAATATGAGTGAAATCAATTTAGTACTTCATGTTATAAGTTTTGTGATAGAAAAAGTAGAAATCATATTGTTGTAACTTTGAACTTATGAGTAGTAACTTTAAGATGACTTCTAATAATTTTGAGATGGATTCTATAACTTGAGAAGGAAGAATAGTAACTTTGTCGACACATGTTGCGGAGTTGTTTCAGCAGCAATTGTATTTATTTTTCTTGTTTCCTCACTTAACTTGCAGACTTGCATGTATATGTGTTAGATATCAGTCATATAGTTTGATTTTTCTGACTTATATAGTGGACATGTAACCTTAATATTGTAACTATCCAGTTAAACTCCACTTTCTTAGTTCATTTATCCTTTCGGGTGCCTAGTGGTGTCATGTAAAGAATCTTTTCTTTGCTTTTTACATGCCATTAATTACCTCCCTATCAGGTATCCGCTTTAGTATATTTTTTGTGAGTTTGGACGATCAGAGGTTGGTTGCTTGTGCAACAAGTGAATTTTACGTGATAGAGGAGTTCAATAACCTCCCTTTCCATATTGAAGGTCTTTCCAATTTAGAAAGCTACTCAGATTCTCTGTCCTTTGTTATTGAAATTCAGGAAATATATTTAGGGTATATATAGAGCCCAATGTATCTACAATATAATGGTTAAGTTTTGAGCGAGAAATATGGCTACAGTCCACGGCCAGAAGCGAACAGTACTTAGCTTGTTTCCTAATATGTTCATCTGATCAGATCAAGAAACCTTTAGTCAATCTCATGGTGTATGGCTTTGTCTTCGGATGCATTGTCAATGTGAACGAGAAAGTATGACTAATCGTTGCTGCACATAGTTGAGTCTTTATATGAGTTAAGATAGTCAAGAAGAAAATAATTATCAATGGTGAAAGAGTTGTGGCGAGGAGACTTAGAAGAAGGCCTTCGCCGGGTTTATGCACCATAAGTTCGGAGAATCGATTTAGGTAGAGATATGCCAAAGGGAATCCCCATGGAAAATAATCGGGAATGTTCCAATGCGGTGTCCTGGTTATTACTGTGCATGGACGTTCAATATTCCCTGCAAAATCAGTGCAAACAGAATCAAGCTGAGATATTCAAACAAACAATAAAGGGGTAGAGGGAATCAAAGTATATAGAAGATTCATAGCAGTACTTACCATTAACGATGGAGCATTCCATGGCAATGTCCATTCCTGATTTCTGGGACCCAATGACGGCTACATGTTTTCCTTTGACGAAGTTGGTTGCAATTGTGGAGTCCATTTTGGAATAATCCATTGAATGGATAACTTTACCCTCAAAAACTTCGGGACCTTTGTTTGGAGGGAATTGAGGGATATTTGGAACTTGGCTGAACTTGGTATACCTGCAGCCATGAGAGATATACCAGCTTATCCTCCATTTGATTGAAAAATTGGTCAAACCACACATTAATATTTCGTTATATGAATCTTTGTAGAAGCTTTTGAAATAGCACTCTGGCGTACAGTTATAGAGAACCGCTATGCACCTCTGCTTGGTTACAGACAATCATTATACACACTCCACTTCTTTTTAAATTGAGGTTCTATAGGGATTAGTTGTCGGTCCTCGAAGAAGAGAAATTTCAATATTGCTTTGTGTTTGAATAATGAGTTTTGCATTAGATTAGCTATTCTAGTAATTAATTATTGGGGAATTATATTAAAACAGTGTAGTAATACTACTAATTAAGTATTGGCCTGGTGGTTAGTTAAAGATCCTACAATAGTATGAAGTTGAGTCATGCGTTAATGTTTTCCACTACTAGTATATATATGCTAGAGAATGCCAGGTTACATTGCTCTAGTTGTTGTTACGTAAATACTACTGTACTAATTGACCCAAAAAATCTTTCCCTTATATGCCAAACAAACAAAACAGAATATACTTGATCATAATTTATTTTATCTTATTTTTGACGATACCAATCAAATTTTCATCATCGGACTGACACGAATGCCTAAGAGAACATTAGAATAGGGAGATAAAGAAAGAGTAGCACCCAGCGGCGTATCAACGTTTTGCTATATATATACCTGCGGGGAGGGGGTTCGAGTGTCCTGTACAGTGACGTTCCACTTCCCTTTACTGCTTAAAGGCTCGCCGGCACCGGTGCTGCCCCACAAATTCCATTGATCTCCGTCAGAGCCGCCACCAGATTCATAACTGAGGTCTGAGGCTCAACACTTTGCTATTGAACTGAATGTGGCGGAGCAAGTCGAAGTGACGAGCATACGATTCAATGTACTCCAGCACAGCTTGTTGGTCGGGGAACATATCGGTTACAGAATCAGGCCATGGAAAATCAGAGAACTGGTAAAAAGGTCTTTGCAACTTGGTACTCTCAATGGTCTTAGTCCACACACCCCCAATGCTACCCTCCAACTCAAACACTATGGGATCGAAACCTTTTGAAAGGCTGTATTTGCAGGCCAAGAGACCGATTATTGCTATCACCTGCTTCTTTCTGTGATTAGTTGCCATTGTTCTCTCCTCGATCCTTTTTCTGTAACATGCATGTGAGGATATGAATAATTTTGTTTAGGTCGACACAAACTTTGCTATAAGTAGTAATTTATTGGCACTTGTATGATTTAAAACCCGTTGTACTAGCATTTAATTAATGTGCAACCATTAACAAAATTCTGAGTTATGCAATTATCGGCACGCCAACAAGACAACAAGTAGAATATTCCTGGTAACATTATTAAGAAATCGCTGGCACCTAACATGGTATGATGGTAAGGTATGCTAATCAGAAAGCATTGCATTTAATCAATGTGTACCATTAAAATTTATGCAATTAGCCGCACGAGGACAAGTACAATATTAGGAAATTGCTGGCACCTAACGTGGTAAGGTCGGTTACCAAGGTCCTATTATTACCAGATTTTGATGCTAATCAGAAGCAGATCTCGAATTCTCTATCAGCCATGTTCCTCCCTGATATTTTTATATCTCTCCGTCTCATCGTGATTGATTCACAGCTCACCTCCTGTACATCATTGTCCTCTTTCATATCTAAGGGCCAAAGTTTATTTAGACTAAACAACCCCTAAATCATGGTTATAAAACTAAAACTCCTTTATTTTATCTTTTCCTTCTTCCACCTTTTTTGTTTCTTTGAAACCAAAAAAGTGTACTATGTTGTGTTTCTTGTAGTTGGCAATTGCCTTGTTAAAATTTTTTGTTGAAGTTAATGTGAAGAAGAAATAACGAAAAAGATAGTTTGCTGCCTAAGAAGAGCAAACTCCAAATTAGAATAGAGAATAAAAGACTAGAATAAAGGGAATGATTCGACGAAATCTCCATGGTAAGTAAGAATTTCCCAACAAGATTTTCGGATAGCTGATTTCTCTTTCCAATTTGATACTAATCCAGTAAGTGAATGTCCAGTTTAACAAAGGATAAGGGGTTATTTTAATCTAAATAAACTTGGCCCTTAGATATGAAAGTGAACAAATGTCATACAATTAGATGTGCACTGATAGAGATGGAGGGATACTATACTGGAGATGAGTCAAATCTATTTTGTGTGTTCCGCAAGTAGAAATATCAGTGTCGCATCAAAGTTAGATGCGTTTGTAAAAACGGTTACATACTACATATATGAAAGTTTTTTGTCTTAGTTACAACGACTTCTGATCTGCTTATCATGAAATTTTTTGGTCTTTGCAACTGATGTACCAATAACATGGCTAGCCATCACCGATTACATAGTTATGGAGATAGATATCAAGCAGGAGTCGACTCAGTTATTAATCCAACAATATACACTAATTAAACTTGTAAAATTAATTGTAGAAGTATTTTAAATGGCACCCTGTCACACAGAGAACCGCTAGCACTGCTTGGGTTACAAATAATCATTATAGATGTTTTATACTTCAATACTACACAAGAAGAGGGAGTAATTTGGGTGGTGTTCAATTTTTACGTGTACTGAATTATAGAAGGACCTAGTTCTTCTATTCGTTCCTTAAACTACAGTTGCGGAATAAGTAATGCAGAAAGTAAAGAACACAAGTATTTTTACGTGGAAAACACCCGGCTCAACAGGTGAAAAAATCACGACCTACTTCCTAGTAGAATTTTTTCCAAACACTTTACTACAACTTTGAACCAACAACAAAGTTTATAACCTATTGCAAACTAAATGATTAACTCTAATCCTTGTACACGCCACAGGCTGTTGCGACTACTTCAAGTTAACTGTAACTTGAAAGATATAACTCAAGTACCTAATACAATTGCTTCTATAGAAAAGCTGAAAGGTACAACTCAAAAGCTCATACTACAATTGAACTAGAAGTAAAGACAGACACATGGAGCTGGTTCTTCACAGGAATTGCTCACAAAATGCCTTGCTATTTTGCTCTCAATTCTTATTTAATTTCAGCATGTGTGCGTTACCTGTAAAAGAGAATAAACTGATATTTATGGAGCTAGTCAAATAAGGATTAACTAGAGACATGATGATTTACTCTTCATTGGTGGAAGAGTTCTAGTTAACTTTAATTACTAAGTCTTTCCTTAAACATGTTTCAATGCAGCTCAACATCACATATAATGTCATCGAAAAGCATACTGTATCTTCCCCCTTGGCATCATCAAAAAGTTGCATGATTAAGTTAAGTAACCAGATTTTAACAGATATTACTCATGGCTACAGGGGCTACTTCAAATGCAATCATGGATTCAATTTTTCCCTTTTCAATCTAAGAATATTAGCCATCTAAGAAACATCAACAAACAATTAGAGCAAAACCAGTGAATTTCATTGATTGATAAGATTCTACCACAAAGCATAAGAAAAACTAAAAACACAGAACCATGAGCAAAAGCATAGAAATCCCACTTGGGTCACTAGTTACACCTGGGCTAGGAATGGCTTAGGACTGGGAAGAACCAGATTCTTAGTTCTTGGCTTGAAGCAGCTTCAACATATATTGAAGAATGTCATTATTCTTCTCTTTCTCCTTTGCAAGCTCAGACTTGAGAGAGTCTCTCCTAACCTCAACTTTAGCCAACCGTTTCTTCACCCTTTTAGTCTCAGCATCCTTATCCCCACCCTCCTGCTCTAGCGCTCTAATCTTGTTGTTCTTAGGTACCCTCTTGGATGAACCAGGTTCTTTGGGCGCAGTTTGGAGTTGGTAGTCACAATCAATCAAAGTTTCGGCCCCAAAGAACTCTTTACTAGTACAAACATCCTATTTCTTGGGGGAAACCTCAAAGGAGGCAACCACAACAGTTATGATAAAGCCATAGGGGATGGCATGAGTCTTGGTGCCACAAACAACCCTATGAAGGAGCTAGATTATGGACCCTGACCAATTGATTTGCTTCCCATTGTCAAATGGATTGGCAAAACACAAACTGTTATGCTCCAAAAGTACTATTCTGAAAATCTATCTTGATAAACGTGAATTTCAAAAGAAGCAGTTGTTAGATATTTGTTCTGATTTTCTTACCATATTTGATTTTCTTATCCATTTACCATAATTGAGTTTTCCTTTTTTAGAAGGAAATTATAATTCTTCCTTATTTGGCTGGTCCCTTGTCTTGGAGGAAAATCTTTAGACTTCTATAAATTGAGGATTCTTTCTTCTCATTCAGTAGCATCCACAATGCAGCCATATGGGGTTTGAGAGTCATGTTTAGGGGTAGAATTTCGGGACAAGTGTTTGCTTGCTACTTGTGTTTGCCTCTTCGTGAGGTTATTCTCTCGATATTTTGTACTCTCTTTTATATAATGGATTGTTCATCTTTATCTGCGGGCATAGGTCAATTGACCGAACCACGTTAAAAGTTGTGTCTCTTTTGGTATATTTCTTTTTTGTTGTCTGATTTATCGTCGTTCAAGGTTTTCTTTACTAGCTTCCGCATGATACCTGATTATTTCGATCCTAACAAATGGTATCAGAGTAAGGTCATCTTGGCGGATTTAGTTCTAGCCGTAACCTTATTTGACGATAATCATGATTTCTGTTTGAGAAATTTGACCCGAGTGCTACGCACGTTGAGACAAAATTTGTGGTGGAGATTTGGAGATGCGACATGTTGAAGGTTATGTGAAGAAGGTGGATCAAGTTTATTTTGTCAGAAAATTCAGGCAGGGGGAGAATTGTTATGTGTTTGTTCTGATTTTCTTACCATATTTAGTTTTTCTATCTCTTGAAGGAAAGTGCAACACATTTACCATAATTGGATTTTTTATTTTTAGCAGGAAATTATAATTCTTCCATATTTGGCTAGTCCCTTTTCTTGAAGAAAAATGTTTTGACTTCTATAAATTGAGGATCCTTCCTTCTCATTCAGTAGCATCCACAATGTAGCCATATGGGATTTGAGAGTCATGTTTAGGGGTAGAATTTCGGAACAAATGTTTGCCTACTACTTGTATTTGCCTCTTCATGAGGTTATTCTCTCGATATTTTGTACTCTCTTTTATATAATAGATTGTTCATCTTCATCTGCGGACGTAGGTCAATTGACCAAACCACATTAAATGTTTGTGTCTCTTTTGGTATATTTCTTTTTTGTTGTCTGATTTATCGGCGTTTAAGGTTTGCTTTACTAGCTTCCGCATGACACCTGATTATTTCGGTCCTAATAACAGTTTGGCCAACGGGCTCTTAGATGAGTTATAAATGTAAATTGTTAGTAGTAATTGTGCAGGGAGCATTTGCGATCATACATTGACTACAGTTTCTATAAAATAGAATAGTGGAAAAGATATAGTGAGAAATAGGATCTCACATACTTTTTTCCCTTGGTTACATTGTTGGATGTCCCAAGGAAAATTAACACTTCCTTTTTTCAACAAAATGAACACTGTTTAGATTTATCAAAAGGGGAAGGAAGTCGATCTTTTCGAAACAAAAAGTATAGCAAATTTAAAATGCTAGCCTTATTGTTCAAGGTTAATGAACAAGAATATAACACACCATTTCGAAGATCCATCTGATATTCTTGTGCCATTGAGTCTACACAAATTGTTTGTCATTCAGTAGAGATTCATAAGCTGAGCCAGCATGAACGTCCATCCAGTATAAATCAGGGCTTTCAAAGGTGAATCACAAGCTTATTGTGCGAATGCTATGATAAAAGAGTGACAATCTAAGGCACTCGGCCATCAACACGAAGGAAAATAAGAAAAATACAATAGAATTTTGAGTACAAGCGAGAACAGAGGAAAGGAGACCTCTCTAAAGTTGGCAGAAGAGGACCTGATGATACTCTTATACTCGTTAACCGGTGTAATCCATTGGTCCATAAGGGTCGAACCACTCAGCCAAAAGACCCTTTTTCCTTTTAGGATTTCATCCCATGTCCTTGCATAGTTGGTCGTTGTACCAAATATGCAATGCACAATTAGTCTTTCAGCTGGTCGTTGTACCAAATATCTCCAAGCGCCATTTTCAGCTGCTTCTCAAGAGTAAACCCTAGTCTTTCAGCTACACGCTACAATTAGACAATTTACCACAAAATTATGAAATTGAGGTAATGAGAGTAAAGACTAGCTTGAGAACTACATTCGA